CTTCCACGAAGAATTGTTCCCATACCTTCAAGACACTACTTCTCCTGCATATGAGAATTTCTTTCCTCGGTTATTTGTTCCTTCTCCCACTATGACCTCTGGTCCTTCTTCTAGTTCTCCTGATGCTGCAACCTCCACAGACACTTCTGCTGAGTTTTCTCTTCCTCCTAAACGGGTCTCACGACCACCAAGCCACCTCCAGGACTATCTTTGTTCTTCTGCAGTATCTTCTACTGAACATCCTCTCTCAAATGTACTGTCCTACGCTGCTTTGTCGGATCCATACATGATCTTTATTAATGCTCTTAATAGCATTCCTGAACCCTCTTCTTATTCACAAGCTGTTAAGTTCAAAGAGTGGTGTGATGCTATGGGAATTGAGATCAAAGCTCTTGAAGAAAATGATACTTGGTTCGTCTGTTCTCTGCCAGAAGGAAAGCAAGCGGTGGGTTGTAAGTGGGTGTTTAAAATCAAACTTAATGCCGATGGAACTCTCGAACGCTACAAAGCTCGTCTTGTGGCTAAGGGATACACTCAACAAGAAGGTTTGGACTATGTGGAGACTTTCTCTCCTGTGGCAAAAGCGGCTACTGTAAAACTTCTTCTTGCTGTTGCAGCTGCTAAAGGTTGGTCTTTGTCTCAACTTGACATATCCAACGCCTTCCTTAACGGAGATTTAGAGGAAGAAATATATATGTCCTTACCACCTGGATACTCACCAAGACAGGGGGAATCTTTTCCACCTAATCCTGTGTGCAAACTGAAGAAGTCACTTTACGGTTTAAAACAAGCTTCGCGCCAGTGGTTTTTGAAATTTTCAGAATCTCTGCTTCAGTTAGGCTTTACTACTTCTTCTGGTGATCATACGCTCTTCACCAAACACTCTGGTAATGTCTATATGGCCGTGCTAGTTTATGTTGACGATATTATTATAGCAAGCAGTTGTGATCATGCTACAGATCTTCTTAAGACTGCTTTGCAAGCATCCTTCAAGCTCAGAGATTTGGGGCAACTACGTTATTTTTTGGGTCTGGAAATAGCTCGCTCTTCTGCTGGTATTACTTTGTGTCAACGCAAGTACATACTTGACCTTCTTGTGGAGACTGATTTACTTGGCTGCAAGCCTGTTTCAATACCTATGGACCCTAGCGTTAAGTTATCTACAGAAGATGGTGATCTTTTGGAGAATGCAGTTCCATATCGTCGTCTTGTTGGGAAACTCCTTTACTTGACTTTCACTCGGCCTGACATCACTTTTGCTGTCCATAAGCTATGTCAGTTCACTGCTTCTCCTCGTGCTCCACATCTTCATGCAGCTTATAAGGTCTTACATTACTTGAAAGGAACCATTGGACAAGGTCTCTTCTATTCCTCTAATTCTGATATGAAGCTTTCAGCCTTTACGGATGCGGACTGGGGGACTTGTCCTGATACTCGTCGTAGTGTCTCAGGCCTTTGTATGTTTGTTGGTCCTGCTCTTGTTGCTTGGAAGTCAAATAAACAAGATACTGTTTCCTGTTCTTCTGCAGAATCAGAGTATAGGGCTATGGCAGAGGCTGTGAAAGAGATGATTTGGTTCAGGAATCTTCTACAAGACTTATGGGTCGACAATCCTGGTCCAGNTGTCCTGATACTCGTCGTAGTGTCTCAGGCCTTTGTATGTTTGTTGGTCCTGCTCTTGTTGCTTGGAAGTCAAATAAACAAGATACTGTTTCCTGTTCTTCTGCAGAATCAGAGTATAGGGCTATGGCAGAGGCTGTGAAAGAGATGATTTGGTTCAGGAATCTTCTACAAGACTTATGGGTCGACAATCCTGGTCCAGCTCCTTTGTTTTGTGACAATACTGCAGCTATTCACATTGCCAATAACGCTGTTTTTCATGAACGAACCAAACACGTTGAACGTGATTGCCATGTGGTTCGTGAACGGGTTAAGTCAGGAATGATTAAAACGCTTCATGTCCGATCAGAGAACCAACTTGCTGACTTATTAACTAAACCTCTTTATCCTGGTCCCTTTCGACACTTATTAAGCAAGATGGAGTTTATCAACTTATATGCTCCATCTTGAGGGGGAATATTGGTTTATAAGTTTATTTCGGTTTGGTTCAATGTATATATTACATCCGGTTTGTCCCGGTTAGCTGATTAGGAACAAGTGTATATAGTGACCATTTTGTCACACATTAAAGTTAACAGAAATTCATTCCCATTTTTGGCTTCTTCTCTTTCTCTCTCATGTTTGTTACGCCATGAAAGCTTGAGAAGAATCTTCCATTTTCTGTTCATCTCTTTTACTATTAATGATGGCAGAGATTGCATGAGACATGGGCACAGGCATGCTCGGGAGATGTTCCACCGTGTGAAATCTACAGTCGATGCATAACGCACGATATTTTGTATGATCGTCACTCCCACCAAACAAATATATTCTATAGTCCACGGATAGAAAGCTTGCACCAAAACTCATAGGGGGAAGGGAATGGATAAGGACCAAGCGGCGATTAATGCCACTGGCCTTCCGGTGGATAATATACCAACGGTTATTACGTGATTTTGGGTCGTTGAGGAGAACATAGAAGCAGGGTTCGGTGACTTCCAACAAGGATCGTCTCACGTATATCTCAGGTGACGTGACAAGTGATCGAAGGTGCTTGGAAACGAGGGAGAGTGACGGATACTCGCACCTTGGTACACGCGCTAAGATGTCAAAGATGACGTCTTCGGGAAGTGACGTAATCAGAGATTGTCTAACGTTGGAAGTCATCTCCCTAAAAGCCCTAATTTATTTTTAGAGTTACAGATTGATTTTATTATGACGTCTCTAATAATATATTACGTTGTTCAGAACTTATTTTTGTATCGTTAAATATGTGATATTTTATTTATAAATATATAGTAATTTTCATATATTATTTTTTAATTTCATTAACTAAATTTATTTTTCTTATTTGCTTAAATGCCAATATATATATTAATAATTTTATACCTTTAAATTCAGAAAAACAAAATTATACATATATATAGAACCTTTATTTTGAAACACATATAGAGCACTAATATGTGTGATTAATCCTCAAACTCTCCATTAGTTTATTTTTGATACGACCAAAACATTTTTGATATGCTTGGCAAAAAGTTGATCTTCCAACGGTATAAGTAGAGCTGGGCAATCGGGGTCCCAATCGGATTTCGGTTCGGATTCATTCAGGTTTTGGGTATTCGGATTCAAAAATTTTAGCTCCATTCGGATGTTATAAAAAATCGGATCGAATTCGGTTCGGATTATCTCGAGTTCGGTTCGGATTTAGTAACATTCCAATATACGGTTGAACCCGAAATAGTTTCAGTTTTGGATATTAATCGGGTTAACGGTTCTAAAAATACTAATATATACTCGATTAAACGCAATATATTTTCAATCGTTTTAATAAATTTTTGTATTTACCTTCTTCAAACTATATTATTGTCCCTCGAAATGATATTGTGAAATTCGTCTATCAACCATTTAAGATTTATCATTGAACTATACGTGACAACGCTAAACATATCATGATTAATGACAAACCAAAGTTTTTTATGAACAAAAAGCATAATAGATAATTAAAGATAAAAAAATTAAAGTTAACAACTAAGAATTCCATAAACGTAAGAAATACTATTTAAAATTTTAAAAACAAAAACACTGTTTAAACTTCATAACAAATTTAATCGTAACTAAATTTCAAATGTAATATCAAACATAAACATTAATATTAACCAAATAAAACTATATAATAGACTAAGTATTTGAGTTAATTATTTATATAATAACTAATTATTGTAGATAATTAATAATATCTTAATGTGTTTTGGAAACATATTAGAATTTGAGATTGGATATGGTATAAGTTTTTTTGAAATTTTAAAGTTTCGGGTTCTTTCGGATATTCATTTAAGTAATTCGTGTTCGGTTCGGATGTAACCCATAATCCGAATTACCGTAAAACAAGATCCATTCGGTACTTATATCGGGTTCGGATCGGTTTGGATTTCTTTTTATCGGGTGGGGTTTTTTATCGGGTCGGGTTTGTTTTTTTTTTCCCAATCCTAAGTATAAGTAGGCAAAGGGTATAACAGAAAGACTAATGTCGCAAAGAGAAAGGATTATTACCCTCACCTATCAGGTCACTGGTGAAAGGCACTAGAAGTGTGAATGAAGGCATTCCATCATCAGTGCGGTAGGAGACCATGTTTTTTCTAGTCTACTTTACTAAATACAACAGTTATAAACCTCCATATCTTCATTTTTCATTATGGATACTACCACATACATTAGAGCACCATAATGGGCAAGGAAATCAGCAAAATAAATTTAGGATAACCCCGCTAGGTATCAGTGGGGCTCACGAATAGTGCAAGAGCACCATTAACCCTAAAACCCCATTTTGGATTCTTTCTTTGCAGTCCCTCTTCTCCAAATCCGCGATTGGTTGATTTTTAAATTTTTTTAATAATAAAAAAAAAAACAAAATGGGGTTTTAAGGTTAATGGTGTTTTAAGAGCACCTTTAACCCAGGTTCTTAAGGGGTGTTGGCCCTAAAAAAAAACTAAAACTCACCTTTTTCTTTTCTTTTGCAAGAGCCGGGTTTGGTAGAGTTCTTGTACTGTTCACGGGCATCACTAACATGTGACGACCGGCGATTGGTTAATTTTAAGTTTTCTTTAGAAAGAATCAGACAAAAAAATTTTAAAAAATAAGGGGTTCTTAGGGTTAAAGATGTGCATCCTTATCCCAAGAAATCCCATTTGGGTTTCTTATTTTTTTTGTCTAAAAAAAAATTAAAAACAAACCAATCGCAGACCGCGACATGTCAGTGGCGCCCGCGAACAGTGCAAAAAAACCATAAAAATCAGTTCTTAATTTATAGTTTTTGTAACCGATTCTTATATTGTTTATGGAACCCACACACAAGAAACCCCAATAATCATACTCTTAGAATCGAGCATCTCATCTGTTTCTCATTTACTTTCCGTTGGCGTGTAGAAAAAGCTATTCAGATCAGACCTAATGTAAATCTTATCAGCCATCACCACCATAGAAACAAGCTCCCATGTCTCTAGCGAAATGTCTGTCTTAATTAATCCAAGCTCCCACTGTCCCACATATGTGTTTTCGTATTGAACACCACCATCACCATTGACTTCATACTGCACCCCAATACGTAAAACTTCTCGTCCATAAAGTCAGCAACTATACCACTCATGAGTATAGGCATGCTGGGGAGGGGTTTGCCCGTGTGAGATCTACAATCAATGCTATAGGCATTGTATGTGACGCCACTGTGCTCGCCAAACATATATATCCTAGAACCTACTGCCGCAAAGCTTTCAAAGATAGGCTTATCTGAAAGGGAAGAGATCAGGACAAAGGCTTTTCGGTGAAGAATATACAAACAGACACCACGGCTCCTCATTACTAAAACGTATAAAATATTTTCGGTGCAACGAGTGATCGAAAGTGCTTAGAAACTGGGAGAGAGTTGGATAGTAGCATCTTCGTACACGTGCTAAGATGTTAAAGGACGACATCGTCGGGAAGTGACGTAGTCAGAGACGGTGGCACATTCATCATTCGATGCCCTAATTTTGGAAGACACCTCAACTTAGAGCATATTCAACCCCACTCCATAATTTATTCCAAAATGAAGTGGGGAATAGAGTGATGAAGAAACAAAAAAAATAATTACTCCAAATATTGAGTAATGAAATTTTTGTTTCTTCATCACTCCATTCTCCACTCCATTTTGCAGTAAAATATGGAGTGGTGTTGGAGATGTTATAAGAGATAGAAACACAAAACCCGAGTTTTAAGGCTCAGTGTAAGTTTTATATAAATATGATAAAGCTTACGTGCATGGAAAGTAACTTTAATTTGAAAAATAACATATTGAGGGGAGTCCTCATCAGCAATTTGGAAATATTTATAGATATATGTTTTTTTTACTATATTATAGATATATATATATATATATATGCTTTGATTGGTTCGTATATGTCTACGAATCTGAAGTCCCATACCTCTTGAGGTATGAATGAGAAGGTAGTAACGGCTTGTCTTATCTCCAATGCCAACTGAAAGTAAACTCCAAACCAGACCACAATAATATTTACGTGTCCTATACACAATAGTTCTAGAGATTGGCCTTGTACTAGCTTCCTTGAGCCCTGGACCATTTTATTCATTTGGATACTATCACAAACATCAGCAGATTTAAACTGGTAAGATGTTTCCTCAGTTACACTGATCCTACTAAAGAATAAGAGCAAGAACAAAAAAAAAATCTAAATATGTTTCTCCTGAATAGCAATGAAAGAAAACAAGATTGATTTTGTTAATGAAAAGAAAACTCATCTAAACATTTGGGTGAAACAGAACATAACAATAAACTATATTAGAAACAAACAAAAAAAAACACAAGTTTCATAGATTAAACCATAACAGATAAATATATTGTCTCTTCATATTCCCCCGCAACCATAACCTGATCGCACCACTCAACTTTACCCCAAATCATTCCTTGGCGTCTTTCCAGTGAAATCTCTGCGCACCAAATCTTACTTGTTCTACTCTCATGTTCTTCTTCTGTTTTACAAAAATACAAAGCCAGGTTCCGACCGAAACACACAGTGTCTGAGTCTGACCATATTTCAGGCAACAACTCTTCCAAACCTCTCACCACCCCCCAGCACTTGTCCTTTGGATCATACGCTCTTAAACAGTTCCGGAAACAATCGTAGTAGTACAATACGTCATCGACGACGCATGGGTTATCATCCCAGGTCTTAGAATCCAGCATCTCATCTGTCTCCCACTTACTTTCCTTTGGCACGTAAACATAGCTTTTCCAATTATCGTTAATGTAAATCTTATCAGCCATCACCACCATACAACCAACCTCCCACGTCGACATTGCCACAATATCTGGCTTTATTAATCCAGACTCCCACATTTGTGTTCTTGTATCGAACACCACCATCACCATTGACTTCACACTGCAGTAGCCAAACACGTAAATTTTGCTGTCCATAACGTCAGCAACTGTACAACTCATGGGTATAGGCATGTCGGGGATGGGTTGCACCGTGTGAGATCTACAATCAATGCTAAAAGCTTTGGACGAGGTGTAAAAGATTCCACCAAACATATATATCCTCGAACCCACCCCCACAAAGCTTTCACAGTCAGGCATATCCGAAATGGAAGAGATATGGACCAAGCTGGCTTTCTGGTGAAGGATATACAAACGGTCTCTAAGGATCCCTTTGACTAAAACGTATAAAAAGTTCTCTGTGCAACTCAACAAAAATCTTCTCGAGTATATCTCACGTGACACAACGAGTGATCTGAAGTGCTTAGAAACTAGGGAGAGCGTTGGATAGTTGCATCTTGGTACACGTGCTAAGATGTCAAGGAGGACGTCATCGGGAAGCGACGTAATCAGAGACGGAGGCTCGTTCATCATTCTCTGCCCTAGCTAATTTTTTGTAAGACACCACAGACTTCAGAGATAAATTAAACACACAAAACCCTAATCTTAATGTAAACTAGATTTTGACCCTAATCGTCATCGGGAAGCGACGTAATCTTTAGTTTTTATTTTTAGATTTTGGTTTTTGGTTTTTAGTTTTAAAGTTTCTACTTTTCATTTTCAGTTTTTGGTTTGGGTTTTTAATTTTTAAACCCGCTGAGTTAGTTTGAACTAATATTACCAACAAACAAATCTCAAATAATCGAACATCTAATTTAAAACTGAAAAGATGATAACAATTTAAAAAAAAAAAAATTGAAATAGCTTATTTTGTAAATAAACAAAGCAAAAAAAAATATAACATGTGTTTTCAGCTTTTGGTTTTGGATTTTAGTTTTTAGATTTGGTTTTTGGTTTTGCTTTACAATTTTTTAATCAGTAAATTATCTAAGAAAAATAAAACAATAAATTATTTAAAAGTTACCATTGAAATTTATCAAAACAAAATGATTTTTATTTAAAATAAAAAAAATATATTAAGATGTTTTAAAGTACATGATTTAAATAAATGATTAATAATAGATAATTTTGTTTTGTTAAAAATATTAAATACCTTTTGGGTCTGAAAATAATATTTGATTTTTTGATCTTTTAAGGTGAAAAGTTTATTCAATGTTTTGGAGTTTTTTCTTAATACTAAGCCAAAAAAACCAAACTATATAATTTGTTCAAAAAATAAAAGTAAGCCCAAGACTATATTGCATAAATATTCATTGGTTTAATTTAAGTATAATTAGTAGATTTCCATATTCCATATTTTGATGATATATATTCTTTAAGAAGATTTCATATTTGTAGGAGAAAAAATATGTGTTTTTGGTATACACATAGATACCTGTCGTATTTTGAAGGTAGTTTACATTAAGGTCGTCTCTTTACATTAATTGTGTTGGTTTAATTTAAGTAATACAGTTCAATTAATTATATGACTTATATTATTTGTAACATTTTAGAAATGGTCCAAATTTAAATGACAGATAAAAAGAATGACTCTATTTTAATAGAGTAGATATGATAAAGCTTACGTGGATTTAATATAAATTTGCAATTTGGAAATAAAATATTGATGGTGGAGTCATCAGCAATTTTGGGAAAAAAACTAAACGGTTAGGCTTAGACGCAAAACACACAAAAGCTTGACCCACAACATGTTGTTTAGACTTTAGATGGTGTGTTCTTGATAGACTCTTGGTGATTACAGTTTACATAATATTGATCTCGCAAAGTGCAGTGATGGCGTGACTAAGATGTACAAAAAATACGAGAAGATTTCGTGAGACTGAAATCCAGAAAAAGCTCTCTTGTGTTGTGCCTAATGGGCAGAAGCATCACACGCTCAGCCATGTTGAATGGATCTGTCAGAAAGACCAAGAGCCGCCAAAACCAATTGTGAGAGAAGCTTTAGCTGAAGAAAAATAGAATGCCATACACAATATTATTCAGTAGCTATAATACTTCTTGCTCATTTACATCAACGAAAATCAGTAAAATGAGATTTTAGGATAATGAAAAGAAAACTCATTTAGACAAAACAACTAAAAGAAATACACACAAGTTATATGAACAAGAGTTGCTGCATATCAAACCATGACAGCTAAGGTTTCATATGCTCATTCTCTTTCACTTCCTCCACATTTTTAGTACACATTTAGCAAGCATCGGTGATGCACCTCTCTTTATATATATGATTTTGTATAATGACTTGAGTTCATTTTAAATAAATTTCATTAATTTGATCCAGTCACAAAAGAGTATTATATAAAATAAAAAAGGCCAGTGATGATGTAAGAGTTTGTGGATGATTCATGACTCGAGTTAGGACAGTCACCAAGATTTATCAGCGCCTTCATCGAATTGGCCAGACCCAACAACCCTAAAATCAATCTGCTTCTGATGCTTTGTACGTCTTCTCTCATCAAACTCACCCCATCCTTCCAACTGCAACAACGATCCAAACACACAGTGAAATAAAGCTAAAAGACATGAACATTGATCTTAGAGAGTCTGCATGCGTAAAAATGAACTAAAAACAAACAAACAAACCTGGCGGAGAGTTTCAACTGTTATCTCTGTGTTGTGGAGTCCTAATGTTGTCAGCTGCAAACACATCTTGAATAAGACAGATGGCAGCGTCGTTAATCCAGTGTTGTTCAGCTCCAACGTCTGAAACCACCAAAAATACTATTAAGTCTTCGTAAAAGCCATGTGACAACAAGAGGAAAGAAGGTGACTTGGTTTTACCTTTAGTTTACGCAGTTTTGTGACTGTCTCGGGAAGTTCTGATAACATGTTTGCAGAAAGATCGACCTGAAAACTTTCCTATTTAAACGTTACTTTGCCAAAACAATACTAAAGGTCTATAACAAAGTAAAGGTGTTTTACCTCCATGAGGAAGGAACAGTCTCCAATACTCTCAGGAAGGCTAGTTATTCTGTTGTTGTTGGCTTTAAAGATCTCGAGCTGCGTAAGAAGTCCTATCTCATTGGGTAGACTTGTCAATTTGTTGTTGGCCACATCAAGTTGTCTAAGTGACGTCAGTGAACCCACTTCTGATGGCAAAACAGTTAGACTGCAAAACAAACATTATAACCCAATCATTTTCGATTTAATCTCAGTTTTGAGTTAAGGCAAGTCCAAAATATCTACTAAGACTCACTTGTTATGGCTAATGGAGAGAAGCATTAGACGCTTTAGAGATGCTATCCCTTCCCATTGAATTGATTCATCAGACAGACCATTCCCTTGAAGGAACAGTTTCTACAACGAAAGACACTCATATCATTCTTCTCCATATAAACAGAGAGATTGTAAAATACATATAGCAAACCATTCTTACATGTATAGAACCAAAAGAGCTGATCCGAGCAGGTACTTCTCTAATGAAGTTGTCACTAATGTCAAGTACTCTAGCTGCAGATCCACACTCCCACACTTCTTCAGGTATTTCCTTAATTTCCACAACAAACAAAACTTCAACACCAAACCAAAAAAACACAATATGTAACAACCTTCTCTACATTACCTTCAAATTAGCTTGAGCTAAAGCAATAACTCCTGTAGCTTTCCACCGATCAGCACGGTTCTTGTCCACAACAAGACCAGGTTTCTTCTGATCTACAATAGTTCTAGATATTGGCCTTGTACTAGCTTCCTTAAGCACTGGTCCTTCCTATTCAATTATTGAATACATACCTCAATTAGATTAAAATGAGAAAACTTTGATGATCGAATCACAAAATATGAACACTAACCCCTTGATGAAGACCTTGAGAAGCCATCAACATGATCTTTGCACCATCTCCCACCAAAGATTGCTTCAAACTCGAAGTCTCTACCAAAACCTTACCTTTTGAATTTTCAGGAAACAAAAGATTGAATTTTGAGTAAGACCCATCACAAAGATTTAGCTAATGAATAGATTGAGATTGAAAAAGGAGAAACCTTTGAAGATGAGCTTCTGGCCACGAGGGAGAACGTTGGTGATGGGTTGGAGAAGAGATTTGAGGTCTTTGATTGTAGTGTCAGGTGATACGGAAAGTGGTATTGATCTGCCTCCGAATTTGATTGTGAGGTTGATTGTGGATTCTGCCATTGTTGGAACTTCCACCCCTTTGCTTCTTCACCTTTAGATTCAATTCAATTTCAGAAACACGAAGAAGCATAAGTTGTCAAGTCATTAGACTTCTTTTGGGCCTAAAATGCAGATCTGATATGTTGGGCCATTTTAAATAATGGACCTAATCACTTTGAGATGAGAAAAAAAAAAGATAATAATAATAGACCTGGATTGGGATGAGTTGCAGTTGGAGGAAGTTGTAACCCTTTTTTTTTAACTTTAGAGCAAGGTTTTTTTTTTTTTTTTTTTTTTTTTTGGGCAAGGTATTTTTGATGTTGATGTTGATTTTTTTATCATAATGTTGCACAAAAAAGAGTTGATCTTATAGGGATTTTGCTGTTATGCTTGAATTAATAGTTTACTAAAAAATCTTCTAAAGCCAAAACATTTGTGGTCTATGTACTTTCTCTGCATCTAAAACTTAAAAAAACATATAAACCAAAAGTTTTGGTACCCGAATCGGAACTAAAAACCATAAATTGTAACACAGCTCATATTACAGAAAACTCACAGACAGATAATTTCAAAGACGATTTCATAAGTCTCTACAGTACCTGATTATCTATATATATATATATATATACATACACCTAACTTGTTTTTATTACACACACAGAGATATACGTATTACTGCATACATACATATTTATATACCAAAAATAGAAGATCTCAACCCCTCCAAGCTTAGCTTTTGAGTCATTAACCTCCTGTACCAGCTACCAGATGCTCCTTCATTTACATCATCTTCACTATCCACATCTTATATTTATCCAAGTACATATACACAAGACAAGGTCCTACCAAACCAGCATCAAACAGCTTCTTACATAGACCCATATATGCTTCAACATCTCTTGGCCGTTGGATCTTCCTCGTCATCCCTTGCATCACAGCCACACGATCAATATACTCCGGACACAAACCAGAGTCGATCATCGTTACCAACGTCTCTGAAGCCTCTTCAAAGTGCCCTCCTTTCACATACCCTCTAAGCAACCATGACAAAGTCTTCTTCTTTCTCTCAGACCCCATGAACTCCACCCTTGTCAGAAGCCGTGAAACCGCATCCACCTCTTTCTGCGAGGCACATATCGCCATTACAATGTCGTTGAGGTCAGCTTCAGGTTCCCTCCCTGCGAACTTCATCTCCCAAAGCTGTTTCTCTGCTTCTGGTCCACGTCCTGCGCATATGTACATAGCCAGGAGCCTCTCGTGGACCGCTCCAACGATGGACTCGTTTTCTTGACCTTCTTGGATGGCCCAAGATGCTAACTCAAGTCCCCGGGATATTAGTTCTGACTGATACTTCTCTATGAGTAACCTATCGTGATCATCAATCTCAGTAACGAGACCAGCACGTGTATAGCGTTTCAACTCGCGTAGCGTCTTTCCAAGACTGTTTAGCTCTTTCACAATAGCTGTCATTGCAATTAGATAGCTGTAAGCTTCTGGCTTTAGCCCTGAGTGTCTCAAATCAACAACCAAATCAACAGCCTTCTTATAATCTCCATCAACCTGAAAAAAAACAAAAGTCACTACCACATTAACCACTTCACAAGCCATAACATCTTTAAATCAAGTTTCTAAATTGGTCTAAATCATTTTAAATTGGTTCAAATCGGTTTATATTAGTCTAAATCCGTTAAACTAAGCAAGAATGTTAGTACAAATACTGAAATTTATCTACTTATTTTATTTTATTTTGTATATTTAATTTGGATAATTCATCAAAATAATTTTATAACTAAACTCAAAAATTAAAATATCGTATATAAATGTAAGTTTATGCCTAGGCGGTCCAATGATCCGGCTAGTCGCTAATCCTCTAAAACAGCCTAGTGATTTCTTGAAAATTGCAATAAAATTACTCAAATAAAGAAGCAAACATTTACCATCATCTTCCAAGCAAGATACCCACTAGGCCCACCTTTCCTGCCTTCAGAACCAACAACAACACTAAAACCAAACCCATCTCTCCTCCTCAAAACCTCCTTAACAAACAAAACAGCATTCTCCTTCTTCCCCATCTCACAATACAAAGCAATAACCTTCTCCATCATACTAAACCCAGGTCTCAACCCAACACACTCCATATCAATCAACAACTCCAACACCTCACCAACACCACACTCCTCCTCCACCAGCTTCCTAACCCACCCACACATTATCGAAACCATCAGCTCCATCATCTCCTCATCAACCCTATCCTCCTTCTTCAGCCACTCGAACACCTCCAGAGCGCACCACGAGTCTCTCCCTTCCTGCGCGAAGTAGACGAGCATCAGTTGAAGCTCTCGTGGAGACAAGCGATGGTTCATCTCCTCGAGGATGTCGGAAGGCTCTCTGTTCATCCTCTCCAGCTCCTCGATCGCCTCGAAGAACCCATCTCCTATCTCCTCCGCTTCTCCTTCTTCCTCCTCGCTTGTGATGAACTGGTCTAGCTCCACGGAGCGGTGGGAGGATGACCGGAACTTCCCGGCGGCGTGGTGGAATTTGAGATTGCAGGTGATGATTCGGGAAGTGGGTTTTGCGGTGAGGGTTCGTCGGAGAGATATCGGCGGCGGGAAGGTGAGGTGGAGATGGGTCAACGATGTGGTGACGCCGCCACGAGCAATCGCCATGGTTAAAAAGGTCAAAACTTTATCGAGGAAAGTTCGAATTGAGACGGGGTAAGACTCGAAGTCGACGATTTGGAGGTTTTCTTGTGATGGGTTTGTTGGTTTTGAGAGTAGGAGCTACGATATTCCATGGATTATCTCAAAAGCTTCTTTAAGGAAGGAGGAGGAAGACAATGAGAGGATAACATAAAAGAAAATGATTTTTATTTTCCACGTGGGGGGTTTATTTATTAAATTAAAGGGTTGAGATTTAATGGTTGATTTTGATCGGACGGTTGTGGATTGAGTTTTAATGGTCTCTTGAAGTAGAGGCTATGAAGCGCGTACGTGTCATGGGTGTCAACTTGTGCCGCTTCAAGTAGCACAAAACGATACCACTGTTTAGATGACGTTTCTACCCTTAGGTGTTGGTGACCGCTTAATCTCTCCATTGATGAATTTTGAGATTGATTTGGAAAATAAAAGATCTGATTACGACTGTTTAACGTTTTGTATGAAGGGATATTAAAGATGTTGACTTCTCACAAATTGGATTAGTTTTCGTAGTAAGAGTTTATTTTTGTGTTGGGCCACTATGTGCTAAGAGAATAGCTTATAGGCCGAAATGGAATTTGAGTAAAATATGTCTACGTAGGCTAAGTTGAAGATTCTTTATTTGTGGGTTTTCATTGGTCTGGGGTTTATTGAACGCTTTTAAAAGCCCTAGAAGTGCTAAAGAAGAGAATATCAAGGCCCTTACTGATACATTTTGTAGACTAGACTTCTAACTGATACATTTTGATTTGGTTGTGAAAATCTTGAGCGCACACTAATATGGAACAAGAGAACCGAACCATACCAAACCGATATAACCAAAAAGGAAACTGAATCAAATTTTGTAAATATCCATACTGATTCTATACCACTGAAACCAAAACTGAATCGAACCGAGAACTAAATAGATACCAAATTTTAAAATATAAGTTATATAATTAAATCATATTTATAATTAGTTTTCAAACAACCAATTATCCTAAAAAATACTATTTATAAACCAAATTTTCAGAAAACAAATTATCCAAATATTTTTTTCTATCTAAATATTTTATTTAATCTGAGTTACGAAAAAATAAAATCATTGATTTTTTTTTCCAAATAACTGAATTATCTTAAATTTATTCAAAGTAATCAAAAATTATCTTAAAACAGAACCAAACCAGAACTTAATTGACCTCAAAAATTTTGCAAATATTAGTTATCTTTAACTTTGTTATCTGAGCCAAATGGAAAAACAAAATAACCAAACGATACCAAACTCGATTTGACAAATACATCATATCTCGAGAACCAAAAAACCGAAAACTAAATTAACCAAACCAAACCCAAATACCAAATAATCTTAACGGTTAAAAATAGATATGATTTTAGAAATAACTAAAGTTATGAACTATGACATTAAGAAAATAAACCACATTGGATACAATTAGTTATATTGCACGTGAGGTTTGAAAATAATATTTTAAGGATTTATAATGTTTATAATTTTGATTGAATAAATTTGGTTTTCAAAATTTTAGAATTAAATGAAAAATATCTACAACTATTTAATTAAAAACCTAATTGGACTTTATTGCTTAGTACCATCGACATTAACTAGACTATAATGGAGAGTACATGAACTTCTTAGATATTAGAAACAGATCAATTGATTTTCTAATACTGTTAAATAATTTGTTTATAAAATGGGTTGTGATTTAGAAAAGAACTTAAAGATCTTATAAAATAATTTTATGACTATCAAAATTTTAAAAAGCCTTTAGAGTGTCACTTTGCTAATCACTCCCCTAATTTTCTTATGTATTAAGGATCTTGAAAACTAACTTCCAATTCTTATGTGAAAGTCTATCAACTTTCTTTTACTTGATGAAAATCTTTGGGAATTTCATCCTAGGATGTTGTTCTCCAATCAACTTATGCTACGTGTCCAAATTTTTGTGGGCCACAACTCCCAAACTCAACAATATTAGGAAAAGCATTGCATAGACGAGAATAAATAACCAAATCAATCCAATAACTTTGTTTAAATGTTCAAGTTTTATAAAAAGTGCTCATCTTTATTAAGTTACGTATTCATTTTGGTTTTGGTTAGTTAAGTTGGTGAAGATGAGATGGTTCGTTCTCTACTACTTCCATCAATTTCCAAACATTTCTCAATCATCTTATTTTGTAATTGCTTTTGGCCTGTCAACTAATATTTTAGTATGGTAACAATATCGATAAGGTCCTCCATTACTCTCCATCTTCCTCTCTTTGTATTTGCCTTTGTTTTCATGGATAAAACTCTTATTTTCTTCTTTTTGTTTAAAGCAGTGATCAGCCAACTCTTTAATAATCGACTTTTTTTGTCAACTAATAATCGACTTATAAAACCAAATATTTTCTATAAATCAATAAAAGTTAAAGACAATCTGCGTTAGGACCATCGTTTTTATTACCGTAGGAAAAGCCAATGAAAATCGAGTCCATGAGGCTTAGAGTTTAGTGTCATATAAACTAATTAATTAATAAAACTTTTGTAAATGTAATCATGAGCAAGCTTTATGGATGGAAAGTTCCGACGTGTTGATAGGAAGATTCATATTGAAAAGTGTTTTGGTTAGTCCAATTTAATGTCAATGTGCCCCTTTGAAATCCATAATATTATTTTTCGTGTTCGATTTACGCTTTAGTTAAATAATGCTTAATTTTTAATAACAAATATTATATTTTATGAATATATAAACTGTATTTATCAAAAAGAATGATTTATAAATTTGGTTCAAAATGGTTTGGAAACCGGACTTACGAGTTTAGACATTTTGAAAGAGTATAGAACTTAATCAAAGCTTATAGTTGCACTTGTTTGTCGCACCTGCTGGCAACTCGCCAGAGGCGAGAGATCACATTTTTTTTTCTTTTTTTTTCTGTGCACTGTGATCACATTCCATCCTATGAAACATGGATCTTTTGCTTCTTCTACGTCATTGGTGGCTTCTTCAATTTCTTTTTCTTTTTGAAAAGTTCTTCAATTTCTTCTTCCTCTTTTGAGAAGTTCTTCAATTTCTTTCTCTGTATGGGTATTACGTTTTTTTCAGCATCTTGCACTATGTCTAAATTAAATACGAGTGCCGATTCAAACAATCTGTAGGTCCTACTTAATTTATATGAAATGAATAATGTTAGTAAAATTAATTTATAGATATCCTTTCTAGATTATTGTATCACTTGCACACAGTCAACAGAAAACTACTAAACTATCTATCGTTCGTGGTTATTTATGTTGATAATTTGTCCCCCAAAAAATTATGTTGATAATTTATAATGTTTGCATTTATTTTTTTCCTAAAAGTAATTCGCTTAAGAATATTAAACAAATATCTATCTAAATGGTCAGTTTTTTTCACGAATTTGACTCTTAGCAACTCCTATGTTCGAAGTCAGATGTTGTATAATTAGACCACGAATTACAAATGTTTGGAAGAGCTCTATTGCTATTTCGCGAGGCAATCCACAGCGATGTAATGAAAGTGAGGGTCCAACAACAATCACCGAACGCCCCGAATAATCGACCCGATCAACCAATACATGAATACAGTTTCCACTCTCTTTTTTTTCGTTTGCTCTGTGCTTAACAAAACTTGTGGCTGATGACTCAACGAAAAAAATATTTTCTTTCATTTGCTCCGACCTCAGCATCTCAACATCATTTCTAAACTGTTTTTGAATTAAAATTTATTAATAATGTGCCAAATAAATAGCATCAGAATTGTTGCTTCACAATTCTGTATGTGTTTTCCATTGTTAGCTGTTGTATTAGAAGATTAATACATTTTAGCAACAGAGGGAATTAGCAAATACAGCTAAAAATTCATTTTAGTTACAAAAGAATAATTAGCAAAAAAAAATTGCAAGACAGAATTCACGGACATAATTAGTAGTGAAAATGGGAAAAGGAGGATTGTAAAGGGGACAAATGATAAAGTGTTCACTTCTAGTGTGGGGAGGTTGAGAGATCACTTCTCTAGTTGTTACTATAGAGATATGGGACCAAACATAGTCATATTCTGTATTTATGTTATTTGTTCAAAACAGAAAATTAAAAAAAATGTAACTCCGTTTAAATTTTGTATCTTACCAAAATCTTCAATATCGGCTGTTTTGGCGTTTAGGCATCTTCCTAGGCACTTCAACATCTATCTAACGTTTAAAACTATCTAGGTGCTATAATATCTTCAAATCGGTCAACAAAATTACAACGATTTGTTTGTCTAGGCAATAATTAGATGGTTGATGTATGTTCTTATAATTGTACTCTATTTCTTCTTTAGAAAGTAAAAAAAATATAAAAACATCCTTTATTTATTTTATACAAAATAGCTAAATCTAGGAAATCTTATATTTTATATTTTCATTAATTAAAATAAAAATGATACAAAAATGTTTCTACTAAGTGGCTAGATACGACTTTGTTTAAACACCCAATTAACAATTAGTACATTTTAATAGTGTGAACAGCATATCTAACAACGTTAGTCAAATATAAAACGCTTTTTTTAGAAGGTAATGTTTTATACTTAGAAGTGTCTTATTGAGTCAAAGTATGCGGGGCTTACTTACCTAAATTAGAAGGCAGGATCCAGCTAATAATAAACAAACGGGCTTATAAAGTAAAACACTTCAAATATATTTACCAAAATTTAGTCAACAATTTTACACGCATCCATAACATACATGTTTCTTTAGTCAACTGCCCTCCTAGGTATTTTAGGATATCCAGATTCTCATCCGGACTCAACACGTAAAATTATTATCCGATACGAATTCAAGATTTTTGGATATCCAAACTGAAAAAATAAAATTAAAAACTAACTGAACTACTATTTAATTATTATTTTTTAAATGCAAAAAATTAAAATTCAATAAAAATTAAATTTATTTCTTATATATATAAATATATAATACAATATACATATATAAATATAATTATATTTAAAAAATTTTAATTAATACAATATAAAAAAATAAAATAATTATATTATAAATATCCGTACATAAAATTTTACTTTATGAATCCGTCGGATCCATAAAATCACTATCATGATCCGAACTCCCTCAATATCCGTTTTTCGGATCGGAGCAGATCAGAGCAGATCTCA